GGAGAGATGAGCGAGACTCGGGGATCGAGGAACGAGGTGGAGGAAGAGGAGGAGGAGGAGGAGAAGCAGGAGGAGGGAGAGGAGGACGAGAAGTTGGATGAGCGAGGGGGAGGAGGAGGAGGAGGAGGAGGAGGAGGAGGACGAGGAGGAGGGGAGGAGGAGGAAGAGGAGGAGGAGGTGGAGGCGGAAGCGGGGGAGGAGGATGAGGAGGAGGAGGAGAAGGAGGAGGAGGATGAGGAGGAGGAGGAGGATGAGACCGTATCTATTTGGGCTCAGGGTTGTTTTGTTGGCCTACGGGCCCCAAGCCACCCAGACGGATCCCTCGGTATGCAGTTGTTTGCTATACCTGAATTTCAAAGCCTAGCTTGCCATGTTGGCAGGGTTAGAGGACCACTTCGGGAACCTGCCCGCAACCGTTAACGGTCTTGCTGGCAGGAGGCAGCTCAGAGAGTAGTTGCCCAGAGAGGCGGTTTCTGCCGCAGCAGCTGCAATCATAGGCCTGCACGCTGGAACCGCTGGGCCGAGGGAGTGCGATGCATGCAATGTTTTCGGCAGCTACGAGAGCTTGCTGGAGGCGCACGGCGACGGGTCCAAGAAGGCGACGGGGGGAATACATTCGACGCAGGCTGGATGCTGCAGGGCAACCTGAACTAGACAAGCAGTGGTGCCAATACCGTTCGGGGAGACGGGCTTGTGCACACCCCGATAATCAGCTGTTGCAGAAGGTCGGTCGCGCGCTGGAGCCGCCGAGTTCTGAAGATGGCTCGGCATCCGAAAGCGCAGAGGAACAGAAACTCCATGATACGATTGGCACATCGAAACTGCGTGCATCTTGTTATACCGACGAACAGCTGAGCGAGCAGGGCATTCAGACAGACTATGTGTGTTGTGTTGAGACTGGGCGCGATGCACAGTTGCAGGCCTTGGAAGAGCAGCTCGTAAATGTCAAATGCACTATTGTCACCATCCGTGCTGGCGTGATCCGCTAGCCACAGCGAATTGGAGATGCACAACATCGTGGACTAGCTGGAGCGATGAGCAGCGGCCTGGCCACCCACCAGGGGGAGCCTGAGCCAGACAGCAGCCTTGCCAGCCACAAGGATGAGCCCCTCGAACCAGGCACGGGCTTGGCCAGCCACCAGGAGAAGCCCCTCGAGCCAGGCACGGGCCTGGCCAGCCACCTGGAGGAGCCCTACGGGCCGGGCAGCGGCCTGGCCAGGCAGCGGCTTTGCTCGCCACAAGGAGGAGCCCCTTGAGCCAGGCAGCGGCCTGGCCAGCCACATGGGGGGGCCCCTCGAGCCAGGCAGCGGCCTGGCCAGCCACGCGGAGGAGCCCCTCGAGCCAGGCAGCGGCCTGGCCAGCCACCAGGAGGAGCCCCTCGAGCCAGGCACGGGCCTGGCCAGCCACGAGGAGGAGCCCTACGGGCCAGGCAAGGGCCTGGCCAGCCACGAGGAGGAGCCCCTCGAGCCAGGCAGCGGGCCTGGCCAGCCACAAGGAGGAGCCGCTCGAGCCAGGCACTTGCCTGGCCAGCCACGAGGAGGAGCTCCTTGAGCCAGGCAGCGGCCTGGCCAGCCACAAGGAGAAGCCCTTCGAACCAGACAGGCTGGAGGCCATCTCCTTGCTCCGACGCAACCCCGAGCCCCTCGCGATGCCCAGACGACCAACTTGTATCAGGTGCTGCGGGTCTTGTGGTTCCAAGACGCAGGTGAGTAGAAGATTGCATAAGGATTGGCCCATCCAGTGCTTTGCGCGCAGTCCTGAACAGTAAGGGCATGGGAGGTTCATCGGGAGGGGTAGGAAGGGAGGGGCGCGGGATGCCAGGACGGCACTTGCTCTCGCCAACCGCCCCCTTGGCCCTCGATGGCTGCATCGAGACGAGGAAATCCAGCCGCCTACGGCCAAGGTCCGTGGGTGGGTGCTGGCTCCCTGGGGGCCAGGGGACTTCGGGTGTACCTACCTCCTTCGTCCCTTTTTTCCTCCCTCCTCTCGGCCTTCCTTCTTCTCCTAGGCGCTGCCTTAGTTTTCCCTATCCATGCGTGTTGTCGGTTGCCGAGCCCAGCATGGCCTCCAGGCGCAACAGTGAAACCGTGGAACACGGGGAGGAGGAGGAGGAGGACGAGGAGGAGGAGAAGGAGCGAGGAGCAAGGCGCGATCAGCGAGGAGCGGGGAGGCGCGAGGAGGCGGAAAAAGGAGAATTGAGGAAACGCGGGGGGGGGGGGGGAGGAGGATGAGGGGGAGGATGGGGAGGAGGAGCGAAGATGATGAGGAGGAGGAGGAGGATAAGGATGAGGAAGGGGAGGAGCAGGAAGAGGAGGAGGAGGAGGAGGAGGAGGAAGAGGAGGACGAGCGAGGAACGAGGAGCGAGGAGCGAGGAGCGAGAAGCAAGGAGCAAGGATGGGAAGGAGGAGGAGGGGCAATATGAGGAGGAGGAATAGGAGGAGGACGAGGAAGAGGAGGATGACGAGGAGGGGGAGGAGGAGGGAAAGGAGGAGGAGGAGGAGGAGGAGCGAGGAACGAGCTGCGAGGAGCGAGGAGCGAGACGCGAGGAGCGATGAGCGAGGAGGAGCGAGGAGGAGCGAGGAGGAACGAGGATGAGGAAGAGGACGAGAACGAATAGGAGGACGACCATGGAGGAGGACGAGGAAGAGGCGGAGGCGGAGGAGGAGGGGGAAGAGGAGGAGGAAGAGGACGAGGAGGAGGAGGAGGAGGAGGAGCGAAGCGCGAGGAGCGAGGAGCGAAGAGCAAGGAACGAGGAGTTAGGAGCGAGGAGCAAGGAGCGAGGAACGCGCTGCGAGGAACGAGGAGCAAGAGAGGAGGAAAACGAGGAGGATAAGGAGAAGGAGGAGGAGGATGAGGAGGAGGAGGAGGAGGAGGAGGTGGCGATACAGCAACCGCACTAGCATTACCAGCAGTAACAACAGCAGCAGCAGCAACAACAACAGCAACAGCAACAGCAGCAGCAGCAGCAGCAGCAGCAGAGAGGAGGAGCAGCGATGAGGAGGAGGAGGAGGAAGAGGAGGAGGACGCGTAGGAAGAGGAGGAGGAGGAGGAGGAGGAGGAGGAAGAGGAGGAGGAGGAGGAGGAGGAGGAGGAGGAGGGATGACGAGGAGGAGGAGGGAGAGGAGGAGGAGGAGAGGAGCAAGAGGAGCAAGAGGAGGAGGATGAGGAAAAGGAGGAGGAGCGAGGAGCGAGGAGGAGGAGGAACGAGGGGCGAGGAGGAGTTAAAGGAGGACGAGGAGGAGGAGGAGGAGGAGGAGGAGCAGGAGGAGGAGGAGGAGGCGCGAGACGCGAGGAGCGAGGAACGAGGAGGAGGAGGTGGACGACGAGGACGAGGAGGAGGAGGAGGAGGAGGAGGAGGAGGAGGAGGAGGAGGAGGGGAACATGGGAGCGAATAAGAAGAAAAAGGGGCAAACCAGCGATATCTTGTGCTCAGGAAATCAATTCGCTTACCGTCATCGTGCTGAGCAGGTAACGGAAATATCGAGGTACGAGCGAAAGAAGTTGAGTTGAGGCGGAGCCCTCTGGGGAGGGGCCCAGGGCAGGGGCAATTCGGGCCCGACATCGTTGCAATGGCCGCCCGGAGGGCGCTTCCTGTGTATTTTCCGAGTGAAGCGGCTCCAGGGCGGTTCACATGGCATGTGTTTTGTTTTTGTTTTGTTTTTTCCTTTTTCTTCCCAACATCCTGAGTGGGGTTCTTGTTTTCCCAGAACATCCTCTCCTCCTCCTCCTCCCGCTTCCTCCACCATCCCACACTGTATCATACCATACCAATACCATGCCACTCCATACCATACCTTACCATACCATATCATGCATCCACCATCCCATACAATACCATGCCTTTCCTCACACCATGCTATTTATCAAGTTTCGTGCCCCTCCCACCCCTCCAGGGAGGCCCCGCCTGAGCGAGCAGGGTATTCGCACACCATGTTATTTATCAGGTTTCGCGCCCCTCCCACCCCTCCAGGGGGCCCCGCCTGAGCGAGCAGGGCATTCGCACACCATGTATACATATAACGGCGCACCGGGTCCGGGGGCCCGGGGCCGGGACCCCGACCACAAATGTGGGTTCCGGGGGGCCCGGAGGCTCGTCGGGGCTTGCCGGAGGCCTCCCCGGTCAGACAAGACGGCCCCAGGAGCGCCCAAGACGGCCCAAGAAACTTCTAAGAGGCCTCCAAGAGGGCTCCGAGATGCTGAAGATGGCCTCCAGACGTCCAAGGACGCCCCCAAGAGGCCCCAAGAAGCCTCCAACATGCGTCCCAAGAGGGCCCCTAGACGCAAAAATTGGCCCGTTCCCTTCGTAAAACGTACATTTTCAACAAAGTTCTCTTTTGGGCTTTCCGACGTTACAGGACGGCCCAAGAGGCGCCCAAGACCGCCCCAAGACGGCCCAAGAAGCTTCCAAGAGGGCCCCAGGACAGCCCAAGAGGGCCCCAAGACGGCCCAAGAGGCGCCCAAGATGGCCCAAGAGGGCCCCAAGACGGGCCCAAGAGGGGGCCCAGAGGGGGACCACGAACTGCAAGCTCGAGCCTTCCGCCCCAAGAGGCCGCCAGGAGGCCCCCAGGAGGCCCCTCAAGAGGCCCCAGGAGACCCCCAAGAGGCCCAAAGGAGGCTTCGAGAAGCCCCAAATCGGCCCCCAAAATGCTTCGAACCTGCTTCCAGGAGGCCCCCGACAGGTTCAGAGGCTCCCGAGAAGCTACGTCAAACTCCCAGCGAGCGGCCGGACGAGGCCCCCCACAAAATCACAAGAGGGTTCCAGTATTTGTATCCTTCAGCGCTCTCTGGCCTTCTTCCCCCTGCCCCCTTCCCTGCGACTTTCGTTGACTCAAGCTCGCCTCCTAGCTAGAACCTAAGCGCGCGCGAAGCGCGCGCGTGGTTCTAGTAAGTATATCAGTGACTACAGGAGCTGATTCCCTACATCCAATTGTAGTGATTGCCGTGGCGTAGCTCAGGGAACCCCACATACCCACTCGCGGCTACGGAGTTGGGGTGGGGCCCGTTCTTGCCATCTGGCAGCACACCAGGTTTCGCAGGGGGCTTCTCCCTTTGTTCCACACGCGCCGTACAAGCATATGTGAGGCCTATACTTGTATAGTATCCTGGTTGTGTAGTATCAAAGGAAGAGGGGGGAAGAGGAGGAGGGAGGCGGGAGGACTGGAGACCAGAGCGCTCTATTCAAAACGAAGGAAGGCCCACAGCAGGAGGGCTGAGAATGTTTCACCCTTTTGCTTTCATTTTGCTCCTCGAGCCGACAGTCGGCTCCGCTTATTGGCGGTGCACGCGGGCTCGGTCCCACAGGCCCTCTAGAGGGTCCCAAGACACTCCCACAGGCGTCGCTCACGTTGCATCCGTCGGTCATCGGGTCGACGATGGAGGTTCGAGGTGGGTTTTCTCCGATGTACTATTCCCGTTCTGGCCGCGAGCCTGAGGGGTCACGGCTACCCCAGTGTTGGCTCCTGCGAGATCTGTTTTTTGAATTTTTGTTTAAGGCGATTGAGCTAGCTTGGGAGGTCACGGCTACTCCAGCGCTGGCTCGCAGGGCAGGGTTGCGTCGTAGTCATCGTCATCGTCGTAGTCGTCGTTGTCGTTTGTCGTCGTTGACCTCTTTGTCGTCCTCGCCCACGCCGCATCCGTCGTCCATCGGCGTTCGACGGTTCATCGGCGCTCGACGATCGCGGCTCGAGGGTGATTTCTCAGTCGTTCCATTTACGCTCTGGCCGCGAGCTATTCGTTATCATGCTGCAACTGCTCCTTCTCATGGAGAGGGCCGATGTCTACGAGGGCCAGTGGCTGGATGATACGCCTGGCAGTCCTCAGTGAGTCTATCCACAGCTCTTCCTGCAATCGCTCCCAACCTCATGCGCTCCGCGGCGCATCCGATGCTCGTGCCAGGGTAGAACCTAAGCGCGCGCGCGAAGCTCGCGCGTGGTTCTATTATAGCTATATATGTTGATTTATAGGTATAGCAATATATCTATATGTATATATATATATACTGACATGTGTGTGTATATATTGATATGTATATATGTATATACTTATATATCCATCTATCCTTATATATAGATATAGCTATATATATATGGCTATGTATCTCTCGATCCATTTCTCTATCTATATATACATATATCAATCTACCTCTGTATCCACCATCGGGACAACCATCGGGACAACCATCGGGACAACCATCGGGACAACCATCGGGACAACCATCGGGACAACCATCGGGACAATCATCGGGACAACCATCGGGACAACCATCGAGATAACCATCGGGACAATTATCGGGACAACCATCGGGACAAGTATCGGGGCAACCGGGGGCCGCGCTCGCCCCAAGGGGGGGGGCGGCCCTTTGGGCTCCATGTGGCCTCTACCAGTGCAGGAACTCGCGCAGCTTCGCCTCGCCCGCACGCACGACACGAACCGAAACCGAAACCGATTTCCAAGTTTGGGTCACTTCCGCTCACACCCCCCAACCCCCGACCACCTATAGTATGTTATGTTTGTCCGCCCGTCAGTGGCAGATGGCGGCCCGGACGCGGACACGTTCTCTATGTTGTTTCACCACTTGGCGACGGGAAAGCCGGCCAGACAATTATACATCAGGCCAGTGCCATGTCTCAGAGCACTTCTTCTTTGGGGCTGCCCAGATGCCAAATTGGCCTGGTTGCAGCCGCACGTTTTGGCACTACCCTGCAGGTTTTCGGATCATCGGTGGCGATATCAGCTGCTCGCCATCCTGCTTGGATCCACGCTGCGGGTACAGCACCCCTTTACAGCCTTGCCCGCCCTGGCGGCGCGGCATGCGCCCGTCAAAGGGCTGGGTGAATGCTCAGCAACGGGGAGTTCTCAGCGGTTCACTCCGTGTGCCACTCGCGCACGGGCAGGTCAGGCTGCTGGGCCGACTTGCAGGTGATCTCCGCAAGACCGTAGCAGGCATTCAACAAGCTCCTTCCAGAGGCCCTCGAGACGGCCCTAAGACCGTGGTGGTGGAATGTGCCGTAAGCTGCATCGTCCATGATTTCCCGGCAGTCTGAATTCTTCAGCGTGTCAGTCGGTTTGCCATTCGCGCCCAGGCGCGTTAGGCCGGCATGCAGCGTTGCCGATTGGTTTTGCAGGTGCTGCGCAGGGGAAAGACAGTGATCGCGGAGCGCCCGAGTGTGAGCATGATTTGGCCGCAGAGTGTATGCTGCACTGTTTTCCAAAGCGCATCCTGGGCCTGCGCGCAATGTGCAATATGTCGCCTCCCGGCCCCCCCCCTTTTCTTTTGGCAAGTTGCGAGGCACACACCTGGAGCGTAAGCCCCCCCTTGCCCCGCTTCCGTGTCAGGAGCATGGCAGAGTGATCCTTGGGCGCCCGCGCATGGTCGAGTTGCTGCCGCAAAGCGTATGTGCCCACATCCTAAGCGGGGGTTCTTGTTTATTTGGAACCCCCGCGCAGGAACAGGAACAGGGACCCACCCACATCCTCATCAGCATCATCAGCAGCAGCATCAGCATCATCATCATAAGCATCAACATCACCAACATCACCACCAGCATCATCATCAGCATCATCATCTGCATCACCATCACCATCATCATCATCAGCATCATCATCATCATCATCATCATCATCATCATCATCATCATCATCATCATCATCGTCATCGTCATCGTCATCGTCATCGTCATCGTCATCATCAGCAGCATCGCCCCCTCGTCTTCGTCACTTACACACTTCACACTCATACTCATCATCACCAGCATCTGCATCACCACTCAGTCTCTCAGTCACTTACTCACACATTTATCATCATCACCATCCTTATCATCGAAATCACTCCCAAACTCATTCACACTCACACATACAAACACACACACATTCACACACTCGCAAAATCACACACTTATGCATTCATCTTGAGGTAGCCTCGGGCGGGAGCCTCGTGTGTGAGTGAATTGCGAGGAAGTCTGAGGCGGGAGTCCCCTAATTACCTACGGAGCTCGCACTTCATGTTGGCAATCGGAGCGGGTCATCCGAACCCTGTCACTGTCGTCATTTTTGGGCCCCTTCACGCTTGAATCTTGAAGAGGCCTCAGGCGGAAACTCGTTTGTGAGTGAATTGCAAGGAAGTCTTGAGTGGGATGCTCCTTGTAACCGTCGTCACGATTGGGCCCCTCACGCTTGACTTTTTGGAGAAGCCTCAGGCGGAGCTTTGCTTTTGAGTGAATTGCAGGGAAGTCTTAGGCGGGAGCCCCCTCTCTATGCAGCTCGCATTTCATGTTTGTAATTGCAGCGGGCCATCCGAACCCTGTAGATGTCGTCACGTTTGGGCCCCTCATGCTTGACGTTTGAAGAAGCCTCAGGCCGGAGCTTTGTTTTTGAGTGAATTGCAGGGAAGTCTTAGGCGGGAGCCCCCTCTCTATGCAGCCCGCATTTCATGTTTGTAATCGCAGCGGGCCATCCGAACCCTGTAGCTGTCGTCACGTTTGGGCCCCTCACGCTTGAATCTTGCAGAAGCCTCAGGCGGGAACTTCGTCTGTGAGTAAGTTGCGAGGAAGTTTCAGGCGGGAGCCCCCTCGCTACGGGCCCGCATTGCATATTGATAATCCGAGCGAGTCATGCTTGCGCCGCACGTGTAATGAAAGGCGGTGCATACATACTGTGTTTACGTCGCAAACTACGTCCACTAGTTATTTATCAGGTTTCGCGCCCCTCCCACCCCTCCAGGGAGGCCCCGCCTGAGCGAGCAGGGTATTCGCACACCATGTTATTTATCAGGCTTCGTGCCCCTCCCACCCCTCCAGGGAGGCCCCGCCTGAGCGAGCAGGGTATTCGCACACCATGATATGTATCAGGTTTCCTGCCCCATCCACCCCTCCAGGGAGGCCCCGCCTGAGCGAGCAGGGTATTCGCACACCATGCTATTTATCAGGTTTCGTGCCCCTCCCACCCTTCCAGGGAGGACCCGCCTGAGCGGGCAGGGTATTCGCACACCATGTTATTTATCAGGTTTCGTGCCCCTCCCACCCCTCCAGAGGGGCCCCGCCTGAGCGAGCAGGGTATTCGCACACCATGTTATTTATCATGTTTCGTGCCCCTCCCACCCCTCCAGGGAGGCCCCACCAAAGCGGGCAGGGTATTCGCACACCATGTTATTTATCAGGTTTCGTGCCCCTCCCACCTCTCCAGGGAGGCCCCGCATGAGCGAGCAGAGCGTATTCGCACACCATATTATTTATCAGGTTTCGTGCCCCTCCCACCCCTCCAGGGAGGCCCCGCCTGAGCGAGCAGGGTATTCGCACACCATGATATGTATCAGGTTTCCTGCCCCATTAGGGAGGCCCCGCCTGATATTCGCACACCATGGTTTCGTGCCCCTCCCACCCCTCCAGGGAGGCCCCACCAGAGCGGGAAGGGTGTTCGCACACCATGTTATTTATCAGGTACCCTGCCCATCCCACCCCTCCAGGGAGGCCCCGCCTGAGCGAGCAGGGTATTCGCACACCATGCTATTTATAAGTTTTCGTGCCTCTCCCACCCCTCCAGGGAGGCCCAGCCTGAGCAAGCAAGGTATTCGCACACCATGTTATTTATCAGGTTTCGTGCCCCTCCCACCCCTCCAGGGAGGCCCCGCCTGAGCGAGCAGGGTATTCGCACACCATGTTATTTATCTGGTTTCGTGCCCCTCCCACCCCTCCAGGGAGGCCCCACCAGAGCGGGCAGGGTATTCGCACACCATGTTATTTATCAGGTTTCGTGCCCCTCCACCCCTCCAGGGAGGCCCCACCAGAGCGGTCAGGGTATCCGCACACCATGTTATTTATCAGGTTTCGCGCCCCTCCCAACATTGCAGGGAGGCCCCGCCAGATCGGGCAGGGTATTCGCACACCATATGATTTATCAGGTTTCATGCCCCTCCCACCCCTCCAGGGAGGCCCCGCCTGAGCGGGCAGGGCATTCGCACACCATATTATGTATCAGGTTTCGTGCCCCTCCCGCCACTCCAGGGAGGCCCTGCCAGAGCGGGCAGGGTATTCGCACGCCATATTTCATTATTAGGTTTCGTGCCGTTCCCGCCCCTCCAGGGAGGCCCCACCAGAGCGGGCAGGGCATTCGCACACCATGTCATTTATCAGGTGTCGTGCCCCTCCCACCCCTCCAGGGAGGCCCCACCAGAGCGGGCAGGGTATCCGCACACCATGTTATTTATCAGGTTTCGCGCCCCTCCCAACATTGCAGGGAGGCCCCACCAGAGCGGGCAGGGTATTCGCACACCATATTACTGAATCGCTTCGCTCATTCCGCCGGCCCGTGATATGGCATCGCTGGTTTTTGTCTGTGTGTTCGTTGCCCATGTTGCGCTCTTGGGGGCGGGTGTCGTTCGGACGCGTTGCGTGGGGAGTTTTGATGGTGAAGCAGTTCCCTGGGGGTCGTCTCTCGATGGGGCGAAATAGAGTCGTCGTCAAGATGCTTCTTTGGGGGGCCTCTTGGGGTCTGTTGAGAGGCCGTTCGGGGGCGCCTGGGAGACATGTTTGAAGCCTTCTGGGGCTTCTTTTGGGCCTCCTGGGAGTCTCCTGGGGCCTCTTGGCGACATCTTGGGGCCTCTTGGAGGCCTCTTGGGGCCTCTTTGGGACCTCCTGGGCGCCTTCTGGGACGGAGGGCTCCATTTTTGAGTTCTCGGTATCCCTCCTGAGTCCCTCTTGGGCCCGTCTTGGGGCCTCTTGGTCCGTCTTGGGCGGCACTTGGGCCGTCTTGAGGGCTCTCTTGGGTCGTTTCGGCGCCGTCTTGGGAGCTTCGTGGGCCGTCTTGGAGCGGTCTTGGGGGCCTCTTGGGCCGTCTTGGAGCGTCCGGAAGCCGAAAAAGCCAGAACACAAAAAACATAGAACAAAACCAATGAAAATCAACGATTTTGGCCTCTTGGGGCTCTCTTCGGAGGCCTCTTGGAAGGCTCTTGGGGCGTCTTGGAGGCCTCTTGGGCTGTCTTGGGGGCCTTTTGGGCCGTCTTGGGGTCATCTTCGGCGTCTTCGAGCGCTCTTTGGGCGTCTCGGGGGCCTCTTGGGCAGTCTTGGGGGCCTCTTGGGGCACTCTGAGCGCGCTCTGGGGAGCCTGAGAGGCCGCACCCAGAAGGAAAACCATCTCTGAGAAGACTGGTAGACGGTCGGGCGGCGACCGGGCGTTGGTCGGGGTACTTTTCGCCGGGGGACCCCCAGGGGCCGCCCCGCGCGCGCGAACTAGAAATACTGTTAATACTGTTAACCAGTTACCGGAGATCTTAGCACGCCCTGGCCCGTTGGGCCGGCGAATTTGATTTTTGTTGTTCTAGTGCAGTCAACCCGCATAGTAAGGACGGGCATCCTTCCCAAGGGCTGCCCTGGCATCCTTGCCTCCTCGGCCCATCCTCGGCCACTCTCGCTGGCCGCTCCCCGCTCGCAAAGCTTCGGGATGGCCCTCCGCGGCCAGCGCTAGGAGGCCGTACCCACTTTGCACGCGGGGTGTATGAGTTTGCCGCAAACGGCCTTCCTCATCCTCCTCCTCCTTCTCCTCCTCCTCCTCCTCCTCCTAGTGTTCCTCCTCCTCCTCTTTAGGCGCAGAGGGGTGAAGAGAAGGAGGAAGTGGGGGGCAAGTTGGAGGCCCAGTAGTTGGCGGGCGTCATCTTCCGATGGAAGATGATCCAAACACGCGGTTCTTCGGTGGCCGAAAGAGTACCAACAGCACCGAGATCTAACCATCTTCCCCCAGTGGAGATACTTCCTTGTGTTGGTGTTGGTCTCCCATCGAGGCTTCCCAGACGGGGTCCGAGCGGAGGATCGCACCGCATCGCCCATGCATTGCCGACACATCATCGATGCACCGTCGATGCATCGGCGACGTTTGCGATGCATCGGCGACGTCGGCACGGAGACAGCTGGGCTCCACATCGAACTCCATTGCCGATGGCATCGGCGATGCTGTGTGATCCGCCGACTCCATCTGCTCGAACCCCATCGGGGAGGAGGAGGAGGAGGAGGAGGAGGAGGAGGAGGAGGAGGAGGAGGAGGAGGAGGAGAAGGCGGAGGAGGGAGAGGAGGAGGGAGGAGGAGGAGGAGGCCGAGGAGGGCGAGGAGGAGGGAGGAGGAGGGCCTCCTCCTCCCTCCTCCTTGCCCCTCAAGGGGGGACGGTTCACCGGCACGCTCGCTGCATCCCCGACGTCCTCGGCATGCCGCGAGCGGCCCCGCGCGCCTCCTCCGGGGGGACGCCCTCGCGTTCCAGGGGGGCCCTGGGCGGCACGGCGCGGGGGCCGGGCCTTCCGCGGGGTCGCGAGCGTGCCGAG